ACCTTTACAAAATTTCTTCTTCAAATAAATGCTGTTCTTTTGAACTACCTATTCATGAAAGGATCCTTAAAAAATGGTTATTGAGCAGCATTTCAGCATGTTAGAATGATTTCTGAAGGATCATGTGACACTGAAGACTGGAGGAATGATGCTGAAAATACAGCTTTGCATCACAGGAATAAATTACATTAATTCATATATTACAAAAGAAAAATCTAATATTATTTCAAAGTACACTCTTAAAAATAAAGGTGCTTCAAAAGGTTCTTCAAGCGATGCCATAGAAGAACCATTTTTGGTTCCACAAAGAACCATTCAGTCAAAGGTTCTTTAAAGAACCATCTCTTTCTTACCTTTTTATAATCTGAACAAAGAACCATTCAGTCAAAGGTTCTTTAAAGAACCATCTCTTTCTTACCTTTTTATAATCTGAAGAACCTTCTTTCGCCACAAAGAACCTTTTGTGAAACAGAAAGGTTCTTCGCATGTTAAAGGTTCTTTATGGAACCATTTAGACAAAAAGGTTCTTCTATGGCATCGTGAAGCACCTTTATTTTTAAGAGTGTATTGCTGTTTTTACTGTATTTTTTTTATCAAATAAATGCAGCCTTAGTGAGCATAAGAGAACATTACTGAGCCCAAACTTTTGAACGGTAGTGTATAACATCAATGAGACTGCATAGTATGTACATATATATTGTCATGTGTTTTTTTTTGTAGATAGTCTCTAAAGGCATTCCAATGCATGCCCGTATGATCCATAATCTGAATGGAAAACGCTCTCCAATACCCTACGGCAAAAAGGGACAGGTAACAGTAACTATTTTCAGATTTACACATTCATATTCACACAAATATAGAACTTCAAATTGCTATCCTCTGGATCCTTACCTCAGCAGTTCAGAAATGCACAGTCACATGACAGTTTGCAGTAAAGTTGTTGCACAGTTACAGGGTTATTAACCCACTAGTTGAGAACATTTACATCAGACATGCATTCATGCTTGGAGTCTGTTTGCTGATACGTGACCAGTGACCCCAGCAGAGTCAATACAACCATCTCCCTTCAAACTAGTTTGTTAATCATTACAATCATAATGCACACATAATAGTGGCAATTAGGACTTTGGCATAGCCAAAAGTCCTAATTTCTTTTTATGAGAAATCAGCACATTTGGTTTCCTGACACATCTACACAAGTCTAATTATTATAAATGTGGAATAAATAAGGCCACAGTAGTTTGACAGAAATCTGAATGCAAATGAACATGGACAGGTTGTTATGAACAAAATAATAATAATAATAATAATAATTATTATTATTAATAAAAAACTAATTAAAAAAAGTTACAATTAACATTTTTTTATTTAAATATTAATAAATGTGTATTTTAGGGTCTGTATAGGTCATTAGAATATCGTTGAAATTTATGAAAAAAAGAACAGAATAGTGAGTGGTATATAATTTGAATTATTTTTCATATTAATAAATGTGTTTTTTGAGCTTGTATATCATCAGAATATTATTGAAGTTTATGAACAAAAACGAATAAAAATAAAGAGGTATATCATTTAAATAATTTTGCATATTAATACATTTGCATTTTTAGGTCTGTGTAGGTCATCATAATAGCTATCATTAAAATTTATAAACAAACAAAAAAAAACGAATTAAAAAAAGCAATATAGAATTTGTATCATTTTACATATTTATACATTTGCATTTTTGGGCCTGTGTAGGTCATCATAATATAATTGAAATTTATGAACAAAGAAACTAATAAAAAGTAGGAGGTATATCATTTAAATAATTTTGCATATTAATACATGTGCATATTTTGAGCCTGTATATCTCATTTTATTATTCACTGTTACAAAACATTTTTTTTTAAATGTCCAATATTAAATATTGGTCATGAAGCAGAACCAGTTGAGAACCACTGATTAACACAACTAAATATCCTGTTTCACTCAGAAATATATCAGGGTTGTGAGACACTGTTTCATCTTTGCGACAAAACAGCCCTAAATATGCTTTGAAAACAGCTGAGATGAAAAGCTCAGGTTTCTCTGGCCCAGTTTGTGTGTTCATTTTGTTCCTCATGAGGTTTGTGGGGATTATGTTTATTGGAAATCAGCAGATGGACTGAAACAGAACTGCTTTTAAACCATTATCTTATTGCTACTACTATGTAATCCACTCACAAAACACACTCACTGTCTGCGGCAAACAATGTGTGTCAAGGTGCTTTTAAACAGTTGTGACATCGAAGCTGTAGATTATAGTGCCTTTCAGGTGACTGAACTCCATGGCTGTCATAAATCCATCATTTCAGATTTAAAATATCCCAGATAATCCGGAACATGCATAATAGAGATTAAAGTTGTCATTCTCCCGGCTGACTGACTCTGACCTGGATGTTCCCTAAACATGGCTGTTGTTTCTGTTGTAGTACATCCTCTCTGTGGACAGAGCTAACCTCAACAAGGAGCTGCTAACAGGTAACAGTTCATTTAACCAACGTCATTTCAAAAATCATTGGAAACACTTAATGTGCCACTTTATACGTTACATATGGTACCTTATGTACCTTCATTTTTTTAAAATGACTTCTTGGGTTCTTTTGAAGATAAAACCCTACGTCCCTATTTGCATATTGATTCCAAATGGTCTCAAATATCTTTTGTTTCAAGTCCTCTCTTCATTTGCCCACTTTTTGGGATCTAATCAATCACTAATGGATAAAATCAAGTCCCTTTTTTGAATATCCAGTTAAAATTTGAAATACACTACCGTTGAAAAGTTTTGTGAAAAAGTTTTAAATATTTTTGGAGAAGTCTCTTATGTTCACCAAGGCCACATTTATTTAATCTACAGTAAAAACTGTAATATTGTGAAATATTATTACAATTAAAAATAATTGTTTTCTGTTTTAATATATTTTAAAATGTTATTTATTCCTGTGATGGCAAAGCTGAAAGCAGTTGTGCTGCTTAATATTTCAGTGGAAACCGTGATACTTTTTTTTTTCTGGATTCTTTGATGAATAGTAAGTTCAAAAGAACAGCATTTATTCGTAATGTACATTTTTATGTCTTTGCTTTCACTTTTGATCAGCTCAGTGTCTCCTTGCTGAATAAAGGCCCTTTCACAAAAAGAATGATAACTACAAAGATAACGATATTAGCGTCCGTGGACGATATTGTCTGTTTAAGTGCACACTCGTCTGCCGCTTTAAATTCTAGAGCTCGTTACAGCAGGATTGATTTTGATTGGCCGTAAATATATCAAAACCTAATTTTTCATTAGTAATATGCATTGCTAAGAACTTCATTTGGACAACTTTAAAGGCAATTTTCTCAATATTTAGATTTTTTTGCACCCTCATATTCAAGATTTTCAAATAGTTGTATCTCAAATATTGTCCTATCCTAACAAACCATACATCAATGGAAAGCTTATTTATTCAGCTTTCAGATGATGCATAAATCTCAATTTCGAGTGTGGATTCTGCTATTCTTTAATATTGAGAACGATTTTTAGAACTATATCTTTATTGTTATCTTTATTGTTATCATTCTTGATGTGAACGGGCCTTAAAAGTATTAATTTCCTTTAGAAAAACTTAACTCCCACACTTCTGAATGGCAGGTTGCAAACTTGTGAACGCCATTTGTGACCCTGGACCACAAAACCAGTCTTAAGTTGCTGGGGTGTGGTCCAGGGTCACATTTCATGATGACTAAAAGTTAATATTGAGTTTAGTAACAAGAAACCCATTTCAATTACATATTACCGAGCAAGTATCACAGTACAGTAATTATGTGAATTGGGATGCGGTCAAAGTCTTTGTACATTTAATCCTGTTTGAATCTTATTCCTTTTACTGAATAAACATACAGAATTGAATTTTTTTCTTGCAGCGGCAGACGCATATCCAAACACTACACTGAACTTTAATCACAAGCTGCAGGACTGGAGTCCAAAATCGGGAACAATGACCTTCTTTGGGTAAACAGCAATCACTTTCTGTCTTTCTGTCTCCATTTTGGCCATACATTTTGGGGAGTGAATAATTCCATGATTTTGTTTAAAATATCTTGGGGTGCCATGTAAAGTAAAGTAATAGTCACAGATTCTGTCATTATTATACGTCGTTAACTAAAACTAAAACCGTCAAATAACTGTTTCGTTACTTGAATTTCTCATTTTTGTTTAGTTTAACTTTAAGTACTTAAATTGTTAAAATGAAATAGACTAAAACTAATAAATATAAAAATGATAAATATATAAATAAATATAAATATAAAAAAACTAATAAAAATAAAAATGAATAAAAACTATACAGGCATTAAAAAACTAATAAAAAAACAATATCAACAATATTATTTACTCACCTTATTGTCATTCCAAACCCATATTTCTTTTCGTTGCGCACAAAGTTTTTTTAAATGTAACTTCAATCACTGAGATCTGGTTTGGCTGCCCAAGAGAGTTTGTAAATTTACTTGAGTATTTGTATATTCAGTGTGAATTAGATTATATTTCAGTAGAGATTTTTGTCTCTGAACAGACCTGATGGCCAGAAGAAGGAGATCCAGGCTGATCTGATCGTAGGCTGTGATGGAGCTTTCTCTGCCATCAGGAAGCAGTACCTGCGGCAAAGTCGTTTCAATTACAGCCAGACGTACATTCCCCACGGGTACATGGAGCTCACCATGCCTCCTAAAGACGGAGATGTAAGTGTCACAGCAATGTTATCTGTCTTCATTACATATCTGCCCTCATTTTGTCTGCTCACATCTCGTTCTCTCTGTGTCCTCTAAGTTTGCAATGGAGCCCAATTACTTGCACATTTGGCCCAGGAACACTTTCATGATGATTGCCCTGCCCAACTTGGTAAGGTCATGTAATAATTTTCTTTGTGTTTTACTGATATATTGTTATTTTTAATTACATTATTATTTTTTAAATAATTTTCAATACATTTTTTATGCCAAAAATCATTAGGATATTAAGTAAAGATCATGTTCCATGAAGATATTTTGTAAATTTACTACTGTAAATATATTATAACTTAATTTTTGATTAGTAATATGCATTGCTAAGAACTTCATTTGGACAACTTTAAAGGTGATTTTCTCAATATTTTGATTTTTTTGCACACTCAGATTCCAGATTTTAAAATAGTTGTATCTCGGCCAAATATTGTCCTGTCCTAACAAACCATACATCAATGGAAAGCTTATTTATTCAGCTCAATTTCGAAAAATTGGTTTTGTGGTCCAGGGTCACATGTTTTATTATTTTACTGTTTATTAACTTTTTTTTGTGATTATCTATTACCTAGTGTTTTCATTATTATTACTATGATTATAAAATTGTAAAGAATATTTTAAGTTTTTGTAATCATCTGTTATCTAGTGTTTATTATTATTATTATTATTATTATTATTATTATCATTAGTAGTAGTAGTATTTATTATTATCATTATTTTGTGATTATCCATTCATTAGTTTTTAATCATCATCATTATTATTATTATTATTAAACATGAAAGAACATTTTATAATGTATTATAAAAATTATTTTATTTATTAAAATTACTTTATGATTAACCATTCATTAGTTTATTATTATGATGATGATGATGATTATTATTATTAAATTATATTTTATTATTTATTGTTTTGTGATTAGCTATTAGTTTTTGCTATTATATTATTATTATTTTATTCATTATTTTTTGTGCTTAACTATTTATTAGTTTGTTATTTCTTATTACAATTAGGGGCCGGTATTATGTATAATGTGGTTTTCCTGGCAGAAAATCATGTTCCTTTTGATTTTGGTTTCTTAAGGACAGGACGTTCACATGCACACTCTTCATGCCCTTTGAAGAATTTGAGAAGATCCGCTCCGGTGACGAGGTCATCCGTTTCTTCCAGAAATACTTTCCTGACTCTGTACCTCTAATAGGAGTGTGAGTACAGCTTGTTCTCTCTCTTTCAGTCTCTTATCACTCTTTCAGCTTCATGCTTCTCTCAGGTCTGAAGTACATCTTAGTGAGGTGTGAAATTGCAGTCTAATAGACACACAGTCCAGCGGGCGGGTTTTTTAATATGAATGCTGCAGGTGATGAGGAGATACAGTATTGGGATGATGGGGTGAGGACACTGAGTGATTTCAAACCTCACAGACCTGTTCAATGTGCAGTTCAGCATTCGAGAATCGACTGAAGATGTTCTCATTTTGCTCAAAATGTACATTTGGTTGTTAAAATTATTCAAGGGTCTACGTGCATATATATGAGAACAGAAATATGTGATTTTGCAATACACTGCCATTCAAAAGTTTGATAAAAAATCTCTTATGCTCACAAAGGCTACATTTATTTGATTAAAAATACAGTAGAAGCTGTAATATTGTGAATTAATTTTATGATTCAAAACAAAATTTTTCTATTTGATTATATATTAAAATGTAATTTATTCCTGTGATGCAAAGCTGAATTTTCAGCATCATTACTCCAGTTTTCAGTGTCACATGATCCTTCAGAAATCATTCTATTATGCTGATTTGCTGCTCAGGAAGAATTTCTTATTATTATCAATGTTGAAAACAGTTGTGCTGCTTATATTTTGTAACATTATAAATGCCATTATTTTTGATGAAATTAATACATCCTTGCTGAATTTAATTTCTTTCAATCATGGTTGGAGTTGGAATGGTAGGGTATGATATTATTATTATTATTATTTTTTTTTTTTCATTTAATATTTTTTAAATAATTTAATACTAGATGTATTAACTTATTCTTAAAGTATATAAAGTATATTTCACCCAGAAATAAAATATTCTGTAACAATTTTTAACTCAAGCCATGTTTCTTTCTTCTTTAAAACAAAAAGGAGATATTATGCATAATAAAAGTCCCATTTGTCCCATTTGCTATATTGTATCCCAATAAAATACAATCCAAAGTAAATGGTGACTAATACTCTCCTTTTGTGTTCCACAGAATGAAAAAAGTCAAAAGAATTTGAAACAACATATAAACACATTAAGGATCAATGCTGAAACATTTAACATCAACAAAGTATATTTCACCAAGAAATAAAATATTCTGTAACAATTTTTATCTCAAGCCATGTTTCTTTCTTCTTTAAAACAAAAAGGAGATATTATGCATAATAAAAGTCCCATTTGTCCCATTTGCTATATTGTATCTCAATAAAATACAATCCAAAGTAAATGGTGACTAATACTCTCCTTTTGTGTTCCACAGAATGAAAAAAGTCAAAAGAATTTGAAACAACATATAAACACATTAAGGATCAATGCTGAAACATTTAACATTGACCTTAATATAGCATATTCAGTTTCAGGATTTTATATTATATGAGTAATAGTCAGTGTAATTGTTCAGATTGTAATTCTAAAAATGTAGGTTTTTATTTAAATTGGCAAGAGGCTTTGAATGAGATTGCCCTACATTAAATGTCATAATTAACATAATTAAGCAGTGAGTCATTGTGCCACAGACAGACGTGACAGTGTTATATATGCATGTACGTTATTGACTGAGTGTGTCTATGTGTCTGTGTTTTCACAGTGAGGCTCTCAAACAGGATTTCTTCCGGCTGCCGGCTCAGGCCATGGTCTCGGTGAAGTGCTCCCCGTATCATCTGTTTGATAAGTGTGTTCTTATGGGAGATGCGGCCCACGCTGTGGTTCCTTTCTATGGTCAAGGCATGAATGCAGTAAGTGGGGGTGGTGAGGATATTCATACTCATCAACCCGCTTCAGTTTTCTTTCAATATGTCTCCAGCTCCCAATGATGTAAACATAACCTGAACACCAGATGAAATGTGATTTACCATATACAGAAATGTTCCAATAGTTCTGGAGCATGCAAACATCTTTGTACTAAATAAAGGCTTGACCAGAACATGGACCAGTGTTACTTTAGTATGTAGTAGTATTTTAGTTTGAATTAGTTTTTATTGCTATATTTTATTGCTATTTTAAAATTATTCAAAATCATTTTTTGTAATTAAAATATGTCTGAAATTATATATGGGACCCTGGACCACAAAACCAGTCATAAGAATCATTTTTTTTGAAACTGGGATTTATACAATAATAAATAAGCTTTCCATTGATGTATGGTTTGTTAGGACAAGACAATATTTGGCCGAGATATAACTATTTAAAAATCTGGAATCTGAGGGTACAAAAAATCTAAATATTGAGAAAATTGCCTCTAAGGTTGTCCAAATGGGTAAAAATTGGGTGCTTGTAAATGTAGTCATTGATGGTCTTGCAGATCGAAATGTTCAGCACAAGTGTAAGAAAATTAATAACCAATAAATGTGTCATTTTTTTATTTTGACTTACAGGGCTTTGAGGATTGTTTAGTTTTTGACGAGGTTATGGACCAGCTGAATGAAAACCTTGGTAAGACAGAAACCAAAGAAAATTCAAGTTCACAGTATTTCTGAGATGGAAGGAATTTATTAATTAAATTATAATTATAAAAAAAATATGTTAATTGAAAATAATTATATACATTTATTTTAATCTTATTATTATTTATAAAATAAACACAATAAAACGTATAATTTTAAATAAATAAATAAATCATGTACTTGTTTGGAACATTTCATCCCAGAGTAACATCAGTAATTAGCAGTACTGTTTAATAAAATCTAAGCGAGATCTAAGCGATGCCAAATATTTGTTCACAAATTAAATGAATAATTTTTGAATATGCTTTGCCTGCAGCTGCTGTGCTTGAAGAATACACCAGAGTCCGTGTACCTGACGATCACGCCATAGCTGACCTGGCCATGTACAACTATGTAGAGGTACAGTAGGCCATCAACTCAATGTCTGCTGCAATACTGTATCTGAACACTAGGTGCTGTCACATGACTTCCATTGCATTCATTTGACAATAGTTGTGTTCGACTTGAAGCGGCGCTGCATATACCGATCAAAGTACCGCAAGCGCAATTAGAGAGCAGATGGCTTTTGTTTCTTTGAATGGGATTGAGGATGTATAAATGATAAAGATGAATCCTGATGGATGGATGATAATACATTCAAACTAAAGATAAATGAATAGAGGATATAATATATTCCTGTAGCGCCTCTTAGAGCTAGCAACGTCAAGGTCATGGGTTTTTCTGTTCATTAAGTAGTATACACACATACATTACAGAACAAACACAAACTCACACAGTAGCAGTAATGAGTCTGTCCAGTTGATCGCATGTGACACAGGTCAACCTCATTACTGATGGCAGGGTGACGATACAGACACACACATTTGTTTTCAAGAGGTTTAGGCCAGACCAAGAGTTAGAGCGTTAAATGCTGCTGTTAGCTTCGCTCATGATGTGATCTGTGTCGCAGATGAGAGCACACGTCAATTCCAGATATTTCCTGTTTCGAAAATACCTGGACGGTTTCCTTCACTTCATCATGCCAAAAACAATCGTCCCACTTTACACAATGGTAAGAGCCTTTCTGTGTTCTGTATCGTCTTGTTTTTTGTTGGTGGTTAGTTCACTAATTCGTATGCTGGATTACTTGCCTCTTAGGTCACATTCACCAGAACACGGTACCATGAAGCTGTGAAGCGATGGCATTGGCAAAATAAGGTGAAGACCAATCCTGTGTGTTTGAAAGCGACAAACGTTTGGCTGACAAATGACCAGTGTCAGTGTAAATTCGAGTGTTTTAAAACGGCTCTTCCATTCTGAGCTATCAACAAAACATTAGTTCAAGTGAAGATCCATTAGTGTTATGTTCATAATAGCACATAATAGACTGATGGTAGAAAAACAAGTTTCATTGTGTTTTTAGAGTATTTTTTTTAATTGATTTATAAACTCCAAAATGTCATGCTGCAGTACAGGATCTAATCAAAGTGTGTTTCTAGCACTGAAACCAATGAGCTGATAAACGTTTGGACTTTTTTTGTTTTGCTGAAATGTATGCTTTAGCGGCATACTGTATTCCACAATGCAACGCACTAGATTTGACTATTCTTTTGTGCGTACAAACACATGTAATTTGTGATTCTAAATATCTGATTTTGAATCTTTTGTTCACCAAGGCTGCATTTGTTTGATAAAAAGTCTGTAAAAACAACAATATTTTGAAATATTATCATGAAACCTTTTCAATTTTAATATATTTTAAAATAGAATTTATTTCTTTGATGCACAGCTGAATTTTCAGCATCATTACTCCAGTCTTATGTGTCACATGATCCTTCAGAAATCATTGATTTGCTGCTTAAGAAGCGTTTCTTCTTCTTATTAATTATTAAAAAAAAAACAGTTGTGCGGTTTCATTTTTTGTGGGAACCATGATTCATTTTTAGGATTATTTAATAAATAGAAAGTTCAAAATAGCAGCATTTATTTGCAATAGATTTTTTGGTTTCATTGTATCTTTACTGTCAAAAAAAATTTGAACTGTAGTGTAGCCTATAATTGTAAAAGCCGAATGACTTTTTTTTTTTTTTCATCGACTACGCTTTTTAATGTAGTTTCATATAATCATAGTGCTTTTCATTTAATAATAAATGTCCAAACTGAATGGAAATTGTCCTTCACAGCAGATGTCATTATTAGCCTACATGGTTCACTTAAAACTTGGATTAAAAAAGTTATTTAAATTTTTCACAGTATAGTAAAATAACTAATCGTCTTGCTGGTCTTTTGCAGGTGATCACTCAAGGTCTGTGGCTGTGTGGAGCTGTATCTGCTGCAGGAGGGATGTACGTCTTGGTCAGATACTCTCACAAACTCCCCAGAATCTCTGCAGACCACCTGTGGACCCGTATACTTGCCTTAAAGCACTTCTAAACCCTGTGTTGATGTTTAGCAGCCTTATCACCTCAAAGGAACAACTCCCAAAAGATCTTCCATGGCTCTGTACTGGACCAGAATTGAAGTCTTGTTCAATACAAGTTAAACAAAAAATGCTCTGCATTTTGTGTTATGATGTTGATTACCACAGAAAATCATTTTGAGTAGTTTGTCAATGTAGTGCACTTATAATTGGGGTATAATGGGCCAGCATTCCAGATGGTTTAAAGCAGAATTGTAACTGGTATGATTGTTAAAGCACTTATCTTCTCATCAATAGATGCTTCCCTGGAAAGCACCATGCTACTTAAGCAACAGGAATGCTGACTTGCATGAATTATTCTGTAAAAACATTTAGTGTTTGAGTTTTAAAAGTTGTCTATATTGTATTTTTGGAAGTGGGAATACTTCTCTTAAACACTTATACATTTTAATGTTTAGTTCCTGGTCCCGTGTACTTCCATTTTAAATGGAGATTATTCTATATTTTCTGTGATTACTGTCACCATGACCTTGAAATTGTTGTAATGGATGTATAATTCGGTTTCAGTTTTATTTCAGGTTTGCTTTTACTTTATATATATCATGTAGATCACATCTGTGTGGGTGTTGTGATCTCTAAGCACATAGATATCATTTCTTTGTTTTTAATTATTTAAAAAAGTCAAGCTGATCACTGTCTGTTCTTGTAGATTCAAAATAAGTTAAATGTGACTGAATAAAATCTTTTGTTCACAGAATGCTTGAACTCTTCTGCTTTGTGGGTCTATGTGTCTCACTTTTAGTGCAACAAAAACATTGTCATACTCTAGTTTTAGGGTGGGAGAAATGTTAAGTCCTCCTGATGGTCTTTCACTGTCATATAAAAAATCACATTAATCCTCGTTCACCTTTAACCCACAAATCCTCCGCAAGGCATAATCCATGAATGAGATAACAGCTGCTCTCTGCCCACTCAAGCAGGTCATTCGGTCATTCAATTGCCATTTTCGAACATAAGTCAGTATGTCTTTTTTGTATTATAAATCTCTTTCATAAAATTATAAACACAAACTATTTCGGTAACACTTTACTTGAAGGGGTGTGCATAAGACTGACATGACACCTTCATAATCATGACATGACACATGTCATGAATATGAAGGAGGTTTTATGCATGTTTATGACATCTGTCATTAAGTGTCATTCGCTCAGTTATGTCATTTTTAATGCAAATATGACATTATTTGACCTAACCCTACCCCTACCCTTACCCCTAACCATAGCCCATAACAAAGACATCTCAAACAATGTCATCTTTGCATTAAAAATTACATAACTGAGCGAATGACACTTAATGACAGTTGTCATAAACATGCATAAAAAACCTTCATATTCATGACATGTGTCATGTCATGATTATGAAGGTGTCATGTCAGTCTTATGCACACCCCTTCAAGTAAAGTGTAACCACTATTTCTTTAAAACCACCACTTGTGTTTTGATGCAACAACTGCTTTCCAGCTTATGTTTTTAGTCATTATTCAGTATATGATTTTTATACTTAAGGTTTACATGGACATAAAAAAAATGGGAATTTTATTTTTCTTTGTTTTTCAGACATGAAAAATTAAATCGGGTGCGGTCACGTTTACGTTAATTTTCGCAGACGAACTCCAGTAGGCTAATTTCAATGTATTTTAATCCACGCAATCAACAATATAACATGAGGGTGAAAGATTTTCACACAGATTTCACTTTCAAATAGGCTACGTATTTTAAATACATGTAGCCTAAAATACTGTCCATCCCTGTAGGCTAATATCAGATATAACAATAATTTCTCAAATATTGATTATAATATAGGATACTGATAAATTTAACATTCACTTCAATGAGATGACTGGATGCTTTCAACTGATTTCCAATTGAACTGTCACCAACTGAACTGCAGTGGTCAATCTATTTAGTTAATAGAACTAGATCATAATGCCGATTATTAATGCACAAACATTAAATTTTCTTCCAATTAGATTGTGTTTTATTAACGTCTACACCTACCCCAATCCTAAACTACCCTTTACAATAATGCAAAAAATAGTAATTGTTGTACAGCGTGACAAAAATGACGCTATATTGATGTGCACATGCCCAGTAGCCCCAATAGTAGCCACAGCTGTCTCCCTTCTAGCCTTAACCTCTGAAGTCCCGATCTGAAATGATGGTTCGTGAATCTTTATTTGATTCAGATCGGAACTTCGGAGCACGGAGCGCGAATCATTTGATTCAGATTAGGCTATAGTATCCAAAGTCGGACATCACTTGTTATGATTTTCAAGAGCGTAGAATTTATAGGGACACTATGAAATGTCCCTGCTAATATCCAGCGACTACTAAATTGTAGCAATCATTTTGATCAAACAATTAAATGTCTGTTGTCTGCGTTATGTCCCCACCAATGGCAAAATCAAACCTTACCTACACCCTCAGTAGGCCCTCGCTGCAGAACACAAGATCTACACCCTTGCAAATCTTAAGTATATTCTCTATAATAGAAAAGGGTAAACACAGCTCTTCTCAAGAAGCAATGCAATTTGAGGTAAACTCACCAAAGTTTAATATGTAGGGGTTTGTTCAAAGCCCTAATCTAAATATTGAGCAGTAGAAATAGTGATGTTTGGCTTGTTTTTCAAATAGGACACACACTTTTCTTCCTCCAGGGGCGCTGTGGACCCGACTGTCTTTATGTACAAGGTGCTGCAGCCTTTGACAAATGTCCCGTCCTAGAAGAGTCCTTGTACTAACACTGTGCTGCTAATCTATCTGAACACACTCACTAATGTATTCTACTCACGGACTGAGCAATCTAAGCTGTGGATATCACACCATCCCATGAAACTGGGTGAAGCTGGAAGTTTCAGTGTCCGAAAAGATGGAGAAGGAACACAATTGATCAAAAACAACTCCAAGTAATTTCCATAAAATACTTACAGCAGTTACAATTGACATAATTCACACAAATCTTGATTGGGAACACACACAAAAAAGTCAGTTTATGTTGCATTACTGCTGCAACAATTAAAAAAATCCTTGTTTCCCTATTTTCCATATTTATGTATAAAAAAAGATGTTTCTGTATCCTTTGTATATTATAAACATTAAATTAGTGTGATGTTAATGAACTCCATCGTCGTTCTTCAATGTCACAAGTGGCAAGTGTCAAAGTGGTCGAACTTGAATTACATTGATGTCTGGTTCGTCACTGAATTTGGAGGTAATATCCAGAGGATGAGTGTCATTGCTTGCGATGATGAATACGATGGAGGAAGAGTTGAAGGTCACCCTCTTTTTAGGCCGGTCAGGACGGCTATGTGACATCACAATAGGGCGTACAGGACGTTCGATTCGGGCGAGGGGACGGTCCTTAATGCTGTGCTGCAGAGTGGCCAGACGAGAACACAGCATCTGTAACATGCACCTGCGAAACTGACCAATCAAAAAAGGAGAAGTAAGCTTCATATAAATATATAAATAAATATATATACAGTGGGTACGGAAAGTATTCAGACCCCCTTAAATTTTTCACTCTTTGTTATATTGCAGCCATTTGCTAAATCATATGTTGGTCCTATTTTAAGGTTATTTGATCTTTTTTGTAGTGAAAATAACATGAACAGATGCGATAACGCATAACTGATGTGGTGATGCGATGAATGAACTAACTCATCTGTTATGCATTGAAGAGATAACACATAACATGTATATTGCATTGCAGTAACTTAGTCCGTTGTGCAGTGAAGAGATAACACATGACAGGTGCTTGTTGCACTTCATTGCATACAAGAACTAACTCTGAAGAGAAAAACATTGAAGAGAAAAAATCATATATGCTGTTGCATAGCAATAAATGCTAAGAAACTGTTTCATTGTTTTGCATACACTAATTAACTTAATGCATTGTGCTTAGAAAAAATTAAAGTGATAAAGGTGATAACAATGGTTTGATCAGAGTGATCAAGTTTTTATTTCACTGAGCATTGTATTGTTTGCTTGTTTACAATTGTATTGCACAATATACACATTTTAACAATGTTATTGCACTACGTGCATGTTTAACCTCCAGTGTGAGGTAGTTATTTATTTTTATTCAGTTTGCACATTTTCAAGTTGTGAAAAAAAAAAAATCTAAAAATTCAATTCTGGTTAAACCATATGGTCACAGTTTGAAATATGTTGTGGCAAAGCAAATAAAATGCAAAACTGTATTACTTCTGAAAAAGGTGAAAAAGGTTT